GTGTCTCTGAACATATCTCCGTCCACACTACGCCACCAAAAAGTATATCACGTGACCATTCGCGCACTCTGGGCATGCGCGTTCTAGTATAAACAGGAAGCATGCGTCTCGCTCGGCATTTGGTTATTGTTAGTCAACAAACACCGGTTGAACATTAAACGCGATGGCAAAGAAAGCAAGAGAGGTATTTTTGTGGACAGACGACGAGGTCGAGTTGTTACTAAACGTAACAAATGAATAACTGCACAATGGCGCCTAAAACAGACAATAGTGCAAACAACGCTTCCATTTCTGTGCCCATGTTGTTGTTTACAGTACTGTCTTCCGGTAGCGTTGAAGCCATGTGTTATAGTCATGTTATAGAGGCTTGACGAATAAGGGAAGGATACAGTGACGAAGGCAATGACACAAAAGCCCTAATCAGGTAGCGAATCTCAGCAGTCCCGCCTCCGTTTTCAGATGACTCAGTTTTTCCTCATCCACACTAAGACGGAGCAGCAGCGTTTCAGAATGAAAACGGCCTCTCCAGCGTTATCAAAACGCTCAGTTTTCGGCGCTCAGAACTCCGGCGTAGTGTGGACGGATGGCGTAACCATAGCAAAACTTATGCGTTTTAAAACGAAAACGCATTAGTGTAAACGGGGCCTAAAACAAACAAACAAACACTGCAGTGTCCATAGACTTTGTTAGAGTTTGTAGCTCCACCCATCTCATTTGAATTTAAAGTTACCAAAATAGCACAATTTGGATCAAAGCCTAAAAGGGACGGTTTCAAAGAGTTATGAAACATTATTTGTGAGATATGTTGGGCTGCAACTTTACAAACACACTCTAAGGGCATCAGAGACTCATTTTAGATCTTGTAAAAAAGGGTATAACTAGTCCCTTTTAATGAGAATTACTGTATAATCTGAAATATTTATCTTTTTTTTTTTACATCATAAGAGTTTAAATTCTTTCATTAGGGTTTGCAGAATTTTGAATCCCAATTGCATTTGTATTTAGGCAATACAGTGTACATACTTTTTGTAGAAAGGGGGAAAAACGAAGTCAATGTAAGAAAATAGGTTTAAATGGAACACTGGTATTAATGGATGCAAGAGGCTCAAGAATTCTATAGGGCCGTGTGTTTGGAAAGTACAGGCAACCTCTCAGTGCTTATAATGAGAATATTATTCATGCCATATGTTTTGTTGGTTAAGAGGCTTCATTGTGGAGGCTCAATCTGGATTCCAGCAGAAGCGTTTCCTGGAGAAGTTCAGTGCATGATGTCATGGGATCGGGTAACGTTACCGTGAAAGATTCTTTTGGTAGATTAGGGATATTTGACTTTGTCTTTCACTAAAAGTCAAAGGATAATTCATTATCTTCTACAGCGACGTCAGGCAATTAGAGAGCGTGCCTTGCAGAACAAGCAGTAATTTTAGTGCTTTGGCATTGTTGCTTCAGGATGAAGACATGTTTTGCCTTGGGGAAAGTCTCAGGCCATGTTCCCACTTATACATTTTTCTGTCCATGCTTGTTTTTATGCAACAAAAACACATCTTTTTAAAAACAGTCGCAGTGTGGACTGTGAAAACAGAGGTTGTTGTAGATGATCATGCAGTTTTTAGTCATGTGACCAATTCAGCGAAGATGGTGGACGACAATTTACAGTGGTTTGTTTTTGGTTGCTTTCCATTTGGACACCATTATTACAGATTATTGTCCCTTTGTAGATACATACTCCAGATTGCTTCAAAGGATGCAAAGGCTGCATCCAAAATCACCTACTACTCAGTAGGTACTGCATTTGAATTTGAATGTACTACTTGACTGTTAGAAAAGTACGTTCTATATAGTATGAATGCGAGCAGTATGTACTTTTGTTGTGATCATGTGACCTGTCCGCATCAGTTGCGTTGCTTCACTCCCATTCATGAGTTCTCTTGTGGGGCACACCTGCCTACACTCCCGGCAGGTTTTTTTTCCTGGGAGTCTTGCGTATTTTAGACCCATCTCCCACCCCTCTCCCGTATTATTCTGTCTCCGAGAAAACTCGGATTTCCTCAGCTTTTTGGTACAGTCCCCATGTGCGCCGAACCCAACACGCAACCGTCTTCATACCCGCTCTCCGCTCTACGTCGTAGTGCATCATGGGATAGCGTAGTATGCATCAGATGCACACTTCAGATTCTCGCCGGAAGTAGTTTGTTGTCTAGGTACTTCTCGTATACTGTTTTTCGAATTCTATGAATTCAGACATACTGCCTGGCTCACATACTGTTTTTAGCGTAATATATAGTATGGAAGTATCAGTTTCGGACACAGTCAAAATATTTACTCAGCTGTTATTTTATCACCCTCTCTAGTCTATATTCTTTCTTGCATTTGCAACTTTATAACTTAATGCTAATTGCAGCAAAGTCTGTCCTTTAAAACAGGGGTTCCTAAACTGTTCAGCCCGCGACCCCCAAAGTGACAATGCCAGTGACTCGCGACCCCCATTCTCTGAAGTGGTTATAAATACAGAAACCTTGCATGCAATGGCGCACACACACACACCAAAAGACCCAAGTCTATTCTTCGCTTATTTTTTTTTAATGTATGTGAGTTCTGTAAATGGGCCAGAAAGTTTAACCTGTTATAAAATCAATCTGCTGCATCTGACGCTATTGCTGTGTCTTTAATGTAATTTAATTACCCCAGGGGTCGCAATCCAATAGAACTAGTTACTAAAAGCTACCTTTTTTTTCTCTTCAGTAGGTTATAGATACAATATGGTCATTCTTATAGTTTAATATTCACCAGGTGACCCCCCCCCACCCCCACCCCCTCCTTCAATTTCCAGTGATTCCTCTGTGGGTCCCAACCCCCACTTTGAGAACCACTGTTTTAAAAAAGCATAAAAAAATTGCTGCAACAATTTTAAAGAGCTGAAATTAATGAAGCTCAAAGCGTGTTTTGTCTTAACACATGCGCAGGGACGAAAACATTTTCAGTCATTTCAAAGTGGACGAACAACTTTTTAGGAAACAATTGAGAACGATTGTGTGGACGTGGAATGTTTTTGACACAACACTTTTAATTGCACATTATATTGTAAAATCTGCCTAAACTAAGCCCCTGATATACTCATTTATACTCGCTCTTTGTTTAGGGGTAAAAATGCGTTTGAAATGCGTATGCCGCAGTATACTGCAAGTGACATTTGTATAAATAGGTAAAATATGTGTTGTCAATAACAAATTAAACAAACAATATGAATGGCAGCAGTGAGAAAACAGCCGTTAAGAAAGCATCTGATTATCGAATTTGATGTTGTCACATTTGTTATATGTAATTCTTTATAGAATTGACTACTCCGATACAAGCAGCTTTTCAGCTTAAAAAAATCAGTTATAGTGGTCCCTCGCTAAAATGCGGTTCACCTTTTGTGGATTTTTTTTGTGCATTTTGATATGCTTTTTTCTACATCACATTGTGTTCTGCGTCCTGACTGGCATAAATCTTCGATCGCTAGCAGTGTGACACAGAAGTGTTGTACTTTGTTTGCAAGTTTTCTCCCCACAATGTTGACAAAACATTCTGCAATGTCAAAGGCACCCAAAGGCAGAGGAACGCTAAGGGAAGGTAGAAGTTACGCGGCTGTAGGGCGCCATTACGATCAACTTGATATTTGGTTTCATTTTACAATACTGGATTTATTTTTCTTCAAAAGTTTGAACTTTGAGAGTGAGAGTTTAAATGAGAGATAAGTGTGGAAATCCTAATGCCTGTCTGAGAAAAGTGTATAAAGTGTGTAGTGAGGGGTTTTACAGCCTTAAAACATCTAAAATAATTGTAAAAATAATAAAGCTGACTACTTCGGCGATTTCTCCAACTGCGAGATATTTTTAGAATGCATCTGCCAGGAATAAGGAGGGACAACTCTACTTAAAAGTTAGTAACATCGTATGTTTTTATAATAATGCGCATATTTACCTTATTTAAGTTAACTGGTTTATACACTTTTTAAAGTAAAGTCAACTAATCTCTTTCTACGATGTGGAATTAAGCATAAAAATAGTAACAGTAAACCTTAAATAATCAGCTTTTACCAGTAGAAGTCTAAAGGTGTTTACTTGTAAGAGCATTGCTCTGTAATGGCTTGTTTCCACGGACTGGTACGGTTCGGGTCGGTACAGGTCACCTTTATCAGGCTTGCGTTTCCATTACCAAGGGTGGGTGTGGGGTATGACTGAGAGTTTCAGTTGACATAATTTTCGCTTGAGAAAATGTCTACAGTAAAGCCATACGGGTTATTCACATATCATATGAGAAGCGCTTCTCACAAAACAGATGCTTTATACACACAAATACTTGTGTATAAATGTTTATTACTAATTTTTCTATGAACAGGATTTGATTATTACTGCAGATCAATGACAGTGCGAAATAGCCTACTGTAACGTCTGCAATTTTATAAAATAAATAAATAAATGCAACATATATGAACACATACAGACCCTTACAATCTCTGATATGTTACCAACTACAGAAGAAGTACATACAGCAGACATTTAGTCCTTAATTAGGTTAAAAACAACACAAAATATAGCCTACGGTCAATGAAAACCTCTCATCTGTGTCCGTAATCTTTAGCAGCACATAAAGCCTCCTGTTAGAGAGTAATTCCATCATTCTGAGTTCATATTAGCTTCACCTTTTGGTACCCTTTCTCTGTGTTTGGTACCCTTTTGAAAGGGTGCCAAAAAAGTGGTACGGTTAGGTACACCTTTGACAGTGGAAGCGGCCATAAAAGTGTATCGAACCGTACCGTATCACTCAGTGGAAACGGGCCATAAAGCTAGTTCAAACTCCAACCTAACTTTGTTTAAAAAGTGATCTTTAGTTTTTTCAGAAGTCTTTTGGGCCCTTAAATCACACATGAACTTGTCAAAACTCATGTTAAATACTTAACAGACGTGACTCACACAGCTTTTAATGAAAGTGCTCTTGATTGTCTTTCCCTCATCCAGGTTGTTTGACGTATGCACAGTTTCCAGGACTGACCGGGAAACCAAACTAACTTTGGTCTTCGAACATGTGGACCAGGATCTAACTACATATTTGGAGAAAGCACCTGATCCGGGAGTGCCACCTGAAACCATAAAGGTACCATCACACCAGCATATTCATCTCAGCACTTAAAATAAAGCTGTAAAGCAATGACTTTAGCCCACAGCATTTATAGTTCAAGGTCAATGTGAAATCAAATTAAGCACTGTTTACTTTTTAAAATGTATATTTACTATAAATCCTATTTATTATTATTTTATTATATATTTTATAAATATTCGGTCCTCCCATCAACAAATCCATTCTTACATTAAACATACCCATATAGACATGAGTTAAATAATGTGTTTGGCATGCAATACATACCACACAGTCCTGTTTATATAGAAATGAATGTCAGCAGCATTTTAGCTGAATGTGCAGTCATCCCATCTAATCTCTGCTGGAGGAGCTCAGGTAACACCTTCTGTAACAGTGCTCACTATCAGGTGAAGAAAAGCTGAATTGTCACATTTTCCTGATGGTTTGGAAGAGGCGACCAAATGAGCCGTTTCAAAGCTGCTGTGCTCTTTATAAAAGTGACAGTGTAAAATGCCACACGTTCGCAAATAACAAGCTATTTTGCGCAGATATTTACTTTCTACATCTACTTTCTATAAGTTTATATTTGGGCATTCCCTTTTAACATCAAATTACAGAATTAATATAAAATTAAAAGAACTTTTATTTTGAAAATAGGCTAATTTGACAAGTCTCCTAGAGTTAGGCTGTTGAGTTTTACTATTTTTGAATTCATTCAGCCAATCTCCGCGTCTGGCTGGAACACTTCTAGCTTAGCTTAGCTTAGCATAGATCATTGAATCAAACCCTTAGCATTAAAAATGCTCAAAAATGAGAGAGGGATCTGGATGCAGACCTGGTGCAGTGCAATCTGAGACTGCATCCAATGCTTTTTAATGGGCTCACCTAACCCCACCTCTAACCCTACCCGTCACAGTGACGCCAATGCGCTCCATTTGAGTGCATTGTGTCTGACATTGCATCGCTGTTTGATGCAATCTTAGCTTGCATCATAAAGGCTGCATCCAGATACTATTGAAAAATAAGCAAAGAGTTTCAGTAATTTTCTTATTCAATGCTTGTCTCTTCTGTATTTACATCGTGTACTAAGGCTTACGATTTCATATTGACGGAAGTTCGCTGATTTTCAAGAAAATTCATAAATTCATAGGAAAATTATCAAAACTCTTTGGTAATTTTTTAGCAAAATGCTAATGGTTTAATCTGATTCAGTGAACTATCCTAGCAGGCACAAGATGTCAACATGACGTCAGATTGGCGTCGTACCCCAATGTCGTGGGGTCGTTGTCTTTTATTTGGATATGAAAATCAGGTTAATGTCAGAACCGAACAACAGACCGACCTTAATGTCCAACGTCCAACCTAAAATCCACTAAATATCGACATCTAATGATGTTACAGCGTGACAATATGTAGACGTTACCACAATAATGTATATCAGACCTTGTATTTTGGTTGCCATACCTGACGAATAAATGTCAGTATTTGACGTCAGTATGACATCGGTTTAAGTTTCCAACACAACATAAAAAAAACAACAACCAAATATCAACGTCTAATGAAGTTACAGCTTGACGTTGTGTAAACGTTACCACTATGACATCTATCAGACGTTTTGTTTGCCATGCCTAATAAATAAATGTCAGTATTTGACGTCAGTATGACACTGGTCTAAGGTCAAAGTCAAAGGTTGGTTTATGTTGGCTTGATGTTGGTTTTTGGTCTCTTTTTGGTCACAACCTAAAATCAACCAAATATCGACATCTAATAATGTTACAGCTTGACGTTAACCACTATAATGTATATCAGACGTAGGATTTTGGTTGCCATACCTGATGAATAAATGTCAGTGTTTGACGTTAGTATGACACTGGTCTAAGGTTGGTTTATGTTGGCTTGATGTTGGTTTTTGGTCTCTTTTGGGTAACAACCTAAAATCAACCAAATATCAGCTTTGTCCTTAGACGCTGACTAGACATTGAATTTTAGTCACTTGATGTCACGACCTAAATCAAATCTAATATTAACATCTTGTGACGTTTTGTGCCTCCTGGGGTGCTAAGCTAAGCTAAAAGTGCTCCTGCTAGATCCAAAGATCAGCTGAATGGATTAAAAAATTATACAAAATGGTAAAACGTTAAATTTTGTTCTTAAGTGGTCTTAAAATGACAATACTTCATCACACTTCATATCACTTATCACAAACATTTCAGAGACAATGAATCCCACAACTCCACGGGTGTTGCTATTAGGCTTTTTTAAATTCTATATATACATCTTTTAAAAGTCCATGTGAAATCAGAATTTACAGTGTGAACATTGTTATACTTTAGGAGAGCAAGTCATTTGTACAAGCTAATCCACTGAATTTTTAAGTTTGTTTTGTTTTCAAATAAATTCGGAGCATTTGCTTTCACTTTCGGAGTGATGGTGCTTGTCCGTTAATGTTTGTTTGCTGCTTTAGCCACAATATTCTTAATCACACCCCTCGGATGATGTGCAAAAATAAAGCCACACCCCTAGAGCTGGGCCAATAAACGATATTATATCGAATCGCGATCAAATTTATGTCAATAACGATGATAAGTTCTGGACTTTTTTAATCTATATTGATCTAAGAGCCAATCACACTGCAGAAATGAACAAATGGAATCTAAAAGTGCGCTAATAATATAAATGTACCGAATTTTCAGCCACCAAAAATGTATCTGTTGAAAATATGTTATGCCATTTATTGGACCCTCTAATTTTTCTTTTTAATGACTTCAGTCATTGTTGAGTTATTCTTTTAAATCTGTAAGTTTTCACAACTTATATCAAAATATATATTGTTATCTTGAATATGGAAAATAATGATTGAGATGGCATTTTTGAAATATCGCCCAGCCCTACAAGCCCCCTACTCCGTTTCAAATGAAAGAACATCAGCATACTGAAGCAAGTCTCAGCAACTTCCGGTTCACACGGAGTCTATTAAGAGTCATTTTTATTTCCCTGCACCATGTTCTAAGCCGTTTTATAACAAAATAACAACGTTTTTTTTTCTTCATTTGTACTTTGAGGCCTGTGAGCACAAAAAACGAGCCTGCAGATGAAGGATGGAGCTCCCTCAGATCACAGAGTCCTGTGCTTTTGATGGGCAGTGCATGTGGTGGATGGGCTTCTAATTAAAGGCCTGCTTGCCTGTGTGCCTCTATTTTCATTCAGCTCTGGCTTTCACCAAAGATTGGCCAGAGGAATGTTGCTTCAGCCTGTGTGTGTGTGTTCATGCAAAGGAGGGTTTGTGTATGTCTGTTTAGTGGCCTCCATCTCAGCCTTGGACTAGAAAAAACCTTCAGACTGCAAGGGGCATCCTTAAGGAGCAATAAGTCATTCAGGCTAGATATCACTTTCCCTTTTTCTAGAAATAATCCTTGTGTGTGTGTGTGTCGTGTCAGTGCTCATCCGGAAAGCTCTGAGCGGAAATGTTGGATTTTGTTTTTGTCCCGATCGTCTACTCTCCTGTAATCGGTTCTGTCTTTTCTTTTCCCACATGCTAGTCTTACAAATCCATTCATCATATTTCGCTCCATCTCCCCCCCCCAGGACATCTTACATTGAGCACTGGAACGAACCGTATCTCTCTCTTTGTCACTCGTGCCAATATGAAATAGAAACAGAAGCTAAGACACATTTGCAAAGTTAAAAAGGGGCACCTTAGGGCTTTCCTGTGGAAGTTTTGTGTATCAATAAGGAAGGATTGTGTATCGAGAGGGACTTTGAACATTACACTTGCTCTTGGTTTGAGTCTCTGGTTTGCATGTTAAGAGAGAGATATGTAGTTTCTTTAAATTTCTCCTAGTGATGATTAGAGATGAACTAAAATAACTAAAAAGCTATATATTTAAACTATTATACTGTATTATGTTATCATATTATACTAATGTAGTACTACTATACTTATATATATATATATATATATAAGTATAGTAGTACTACATTAATTTAAAAATACATTAATTAATTTACATAAATATAAGTATAGTTATATATATATATATATATATATATATATATATATATATATATATATATATATATATATATATATATATATATATATATATATATATATATAAATAAAAGCCCCGAAATTTTTTTTTTTTTTCTACTGCGTTTTCGGATGTCGCCGCGTTCTCACCCTGTCACGAAACTCGTTCACTTAATTTTTGGGATTCTTTTTTCGTCTTACCTGATTGCTGGAACCGCTCTTCCCCGTACTCGAAACCGGTCGCTGTGGTCGAGTCCTCTCCGCATCTCGAGCCTGCCGACGTTACACAGTGAGCTGAGTGGACAAACGGGTTTCAGCGGTGAAGCCCTCCGCAAGGAGGTAAGGCAAGCGGGAAAGGGAATGGCGTCATACCGCCCCACAGCGTTCGCTTGAAAAAAATAAACGCGGCCGTACTTACCCCCCGGGACGTATTCCGCTGTCTCCAGAAACGTCCGCGGGGCTACGTTTTCAGAATGAGCTTGGGTTGAGTAAAAAGCTTTGGTTATTTATAAAGCGTCCGTAATCATCTAATAAGGCAGATTACGGAGATAATGTGGTGCCAGCCATGTTGATCATAAGCACGTGATCCTCTCAAAATCAGTTTATAAATAAACCGCACTTTGGAATTTCATAGATTTTTGAAGTAAGCAATTTGCATTTGATACGCTTTACTTATGCAAATGTATTGTTTTCCCATACATCTTTAACTAATTTCAAGTACATTAGTAAAACCTTTTTTTCCTCAAAAGTCCTAAGAGTTCACAAATAACACATGGATGCTAAAACCTTTACAACAAGTAGTCATTATATAGCTAATGCATTCAACACAACCTTCCAGACTCTGAATATTTTAGCCAAAGAGCTTCTTGAATATGCATCAGTGAGATTTGATTCTGTCAGGCCACACAGACATCAGATAGCAGACATCAGTTGTAGACCCTCCCAAAAGATGCCCAGCCGCCTCATTCACCATGCTCCCTCCCAA